GACAGGTTATACTGGCGTCCGCTCACCTCTGTCACTGACACCCCACATGAGTACACGTCAGACAAATATGCAGCACTTTAGGGCCCAATTCCTTAATTGAATCTGCAAAATTTAATTGAATCTTGTTACCCGTGAAAAATGTCGCTAACATCAAAGAAAAGAGAACTGTGGATAATCGTGGTAATGCCCGCGATGACCATGAATCATGAGCCCTTAGGGCAGTACTGCTATCGGTCAGTGGATTCCAAGGAACAGCAAGAACACGGCAGATTAAGTTTACATGGCATTGCAAAAGAACCGAGGCAGCCATGTTTCCATAAGAGCCTTTTACCCTAAGCGACGTCAATGCTGACCCAGCAGCAAAAGGAAGGGCGAGTACAATTGGCACTTGACAGAAACCCAATGGTGTTCTCTGTTCGATCGATTGTCCAGAAATACGATGTGAGGTTTTGGTCCAAGAACGCCAAAGCAGCTCAACAAAAATTCCAAAAAGCAGGCAGAATGTGCGATGAGCCTTCAGCATTAAAGGCAAGGAATCGGGCATTCATTCGGAAGGATAAGGGAAGGTCCTTACCCCTCTCAAATTCTTCAAGAACATCCACTTTCTGGTGCAAGACAGTTTGGATCATTGTTTTGCTGGAATCGCCAGGGCCCCGTCTTAAGTACACAAGCGAGGTAGTGGGACTTTTTTCAGAGCAGTATGTACCCGAAAAATCGATGGGCCACCTTTCAGTGATTTTTTCCCGCCAGAAACTTTTCGTTGATCCTTAAACGATGCGTGGAGAAACGGAGGGCAACAAATCTAGAATAATTGCAACGATTATTGCTTGAAGAATGGCAACGAATGGACATGCCGGCCATAACTCATTTAATCGAATCGTTGACACAGGAAGAAGTTTGAGTCTTGTTGATTCAGAGGGAAATCCAACAAATGATAAAATAATGTATGGGGAATCTGTGAACTTTTCTGAAATGTACCCCTCCCAACAGTAGAAACTCCAAACTTGTTGGCAGCTTCTTTTCCAATTAGCTGTATGCGTATACTGACATTTATACAAGGCTGGGTATGCTCCCTCCCTTGTTGACCTGAGTTTTGGCAACTTTCCACCACTCCCATCCCCCATTCTCAAATATATTTGATAGTTTCCTGTGGACACATTTTTATCACATGATATAAGCAGTGGTTGACTTATTTTTAACGCTGCGCACCCATGCGCTACACAGAATCCCGCCCAATAAAACTGGAACAGGGGTGCATACCTTGGCCATTGGTCTGTACGAGACGGGCTACACTCAATTTTAGGAGGCGGAGAGCTCCAAGACACAGGCGACACTTTGAACCTACATAGGACCATAGTGCAATAATCTAGTTTCAGTCGAAGAAACGACAATGTGGAAGAAAGTTTCAATGTGGTCAATGCCAGAGAAGCAGATTTCCAGTTTAAGAAGGGAGAAACGGTTGGTGTCGGTCCAGTCACCGTGAGATTCCTTCAGAGATTTTCAGGACACGTGAGTCTTCTTCATTTACGTTTTATTGGCACATAACCTGCTTTACTACTGGTTCTCACAAAGGGATCCGCTTTAAAATCATCTTGGAGGATTGTATTTGAGAAAACATATTGAAAGGATATTTAATATTATGTTAAATTAAAGTAGGTATTTCCCCAGCCGTGTCCGAACTGCATGAATATGTTTTTACTAACGGAAAATTATCCCAAAGGAAATAAGTGTTCCACGGTAAACTTTACGAGGGATTTCCAAAAAGAAAAATTATCACCCCGGGTAACAGAATGCACATTTTTATGTCTGAAATAAGCCTTGAGTAGTAACCAATAGCGGATGTTAAGCACAACCGATAATATGTAGGGGTGCAACAAAATTATTTGATTCCTTACGTTTTCCCTTGCAGCATATAACATTGAAACAATATTGATTAAATGTTGATTCAACATCTGAACGTTGAAACAACGTTGATTCAATGTTACATGCTGCTAGGTTTGAGCTATCAACGCCTGCTCGGCAATTAAAACTTGTCCAATGTAATTCCCATTCTTATGAACATTGAGGACGGGATCCCTGTAAACACGGATTTTGCGGATGAAACGAAAAATACGCATATTTTGGGGGAGGGGGGTTTCGAACTCATTGAACAAATACTCTAGGGAGATTTTAGCCTCGAAGCTATTAAATTTGAGACGAATCCATTTAGAACTTTAGTAGTAATGGCTTTCCATTACGGCTGTGCTTTTTCAGTTCTGTTTGCATGAAAGGCCCAGTAACCAGGGCTATAGTAACACACTTCCGTCCGGTCCTTAATGTATTCAGAAGACGCGGACTGATCCGTCGATAGAGCGCTAATGAATCTGATCATTCAGGGTCTGGGTCGTTTTTCGTATACGGACTCGTCTCGCTTCAGGAAAACCATCTGGCTTCTCGTCTTCATTGCCGCATCGTGTTACATGATCCACGGGATCATCGGAGTCTTCACGGCGTTCATGTCTGGTGCGGTGACTACCTCGATTCAGGTACAACACACTGAATCCTCTCAATTGTCCGCTTAACACATTCACTTCCAGGGATTGAAATGCATGACATTTTGGCGCACCTACTGTAAGCATTGTGAGGCATTAGAATTACATTTCTCGAAGAGATGAACAACAAATCGTACATGGTAGCGAATGTGTTGTTATCCTAGCCTGTTTCTCGACAGGGAATAACGCGTTCTCCTTCTGAATCACAAAATAGGTGGAGATGAAGGTTAACCTCCTTTTTCCAGCCGTCAAGATTTGCCCCAAGATATATTGTCCATCGAACGAATTTCCAAAACTCCCAACACATGCGCGGAGTTTTACTTTACAGCTGTCGTCACTTAGGGAGCATTCAAGATTGAATATCACATGCCAACAGGCAAAAGCAGATCTCCATCCTTTCTTCTACAAAGCTGATTGTAGTAAGGACGAGAATGGAGAGCAAAACTTCTGCATCAAACCATATGCGGAATGCGAGTTTATCTTTTGTCATCATTCATATGGAAATACACTTATGGCCATACGATTGCGATGTGTCTTGCTTGAGCATATTGCTCCTAATGCTCTGTTAAGAAAGGCACTGGGCGTGGGGGAAAAAAAAATATTTCGATACATATATTCTATAGTTAAGCTAAAAACCACTTCGTTTAATCTTGGTAAGGTCCTAATGGCAACGGCATCCCATAGATGCAAGCAATTTAACGCTGCAAAAAATTAGCCAAGTAACGAAATGTTACTCAGCTTCCTAGGATGTGAAAGCCTAATGGGCGGGTTTATTTTTCAGGATAATTTATTCATTTTCCTGCAAGGTCGAGCGTCAAAGAATATCGATCTCTTTTTAGGAGAGAGAATGTAACTCTCTAGGAGAATAAATATCCCTCACCATCTGCCTGCTTCACCGTGATACTATTTCTAACGAATATGAAAATACAATATTCCTCTGTAGGTAATTCGACATTCAATGAAAAGGGAGCCCCGTTTTTCCATTTGTTGAAGGACAAAAGAGTTTCGGATAGAAGATTTTGGATGAATTCAAATGAAACCAATGGTTTCGGTGAGAATCACAAAAATCCGGACTTGGAAGCCGATTTCAAGAAGACCCTGCAGCACATACTCCATTGCAGCTTCAATTCCAAAACTTGCAACTATTCGTAAGTGCATCTGACCATTTCACCCGATTCACTCCATGTACGGCCTGCCCACATTGACTTCAAGTTGTGAATTTAAGCGACAATTTTCTTTGAGACAAGTTCCTTACGTTAGTAAGAAATCTATTTTTTAAAGAAAGTGCTCGTACAAAGGTACTGGAAACATAATGGAGGAAGTGAGTTTCTCTAGTGAACAGGCAAATAATGTAACCTGGGAAATTATGCGAAACTTGAGTTATTGGATTTTCCAGTGATTTCAAGAGGGACGGGTTTGGAAGCTGTCTCATTTTCAATGACGATGGAGTCAAGACAGTCAAGCGCCGCTCGGAAAGACAGGGGACATCATCAATCATCAGCGGCATGGGATCCTCCGTGAGTCGTTAATAATTCCGAAGAAATTAACTGATCAACGGAACTGATAATTTTTTTTTCCCCTCTGAATTGTATTTCGCAGGATGGACTGCAACTTATATTGAAACCTCATGTCTGGGACCAAAAGAATCTCAATTTGGCGACCGGATTCCGTCTCCAAATTCATTCTCCTGGAGCAGAATACGAAACTATATTTGGAAAGGAATGTGAGGTAAACTTGGGAACGATTTCACACGTCACTCCCAAGAAGCTGGTATTGCAGCGCCTTTCTCCAGACGAAGGTGGAGATTTTGCTCCAGCTTCCTACCTCGAAAAGCGGTTTGACCTCAACATGTTCAATCTTAAAACCAAATATGAATAAACCAACCAGGTGAGGAAGGCTCCATAGGTTAGCTCTCTCAGTTCATCTAAAAAACCTGGGCATTGCACATTTTCTTCACTTTCCTATGTTTCGTCAGCTGTGTCGGCTTATGTGCCTTGCCGACCGGGGGAAAAATGACCCTCTCGCCTTATGCTGTATCTCGGCTTTCGGCGCCAAAATCTCGTGAAAATCAATCAAACATGCGGATGTAAGACATTCTATAATTATTTCTCTTCGTATGAGTGAACCCGGATTGTGTGATTACGATTGATTTCATGACCAAATGAGATGCTCAATCATAAAGACTTGTAATGTCATCGTGATAGTAATCAATAAAATTATCAATAAATGTATTCTATGATATTAATGGAGGACAGGTGCAAACGACGAAATCTTCCTGTGGCTGGCCAACGAGTTTGACTCAGAAGGGTTCTGCGATTGTCCCCATGTAACCTGCTCGTAAGCTTCCTTCTGGATACACACTATACATATGAAGAGAAAAACCCATTGAGATGGGTAACTTTTTTTTCAGAGAGGAGACATATTCCTCGTCGTTTACCTCAGCGGACCATATACCTTCCCATTTTGTTGAAGTGTGAGCATTGGCCTAATCGTCCTTAAGTGGATTAGACATGGCCACCTTACATCAAAATGTCATCCTGAATGTCAATAGAACATCTTATACTGTTCCCTGCCAGAAAAATAAATAGATCCCATTCACATCTGCAAGCGTACCACGCGTCAACTCGTGCCCTTCTCTTCACCAATNCGATGTGTGTACCAAGTTTCAGCCTCTCGTCATGTCTAGAACATGGTTAGAATTAGCGTCAGTCAGTCAGTCACGATCGTCTATATATATTAGATAGGGCAAGCATGCAGGAGCTGTCGAGGTTGATCTTGCCAAAAGGGTGTCTAAACTTTGCACGGATACCATCGATGATTCGGTGATGACAACAGGTACACAGGATTTCACATGATTAAGGTAAACAAGCGAGGGAAAGGGATGGAAACGAGGCAGAGCCTTCTACGCTAACGTGTTTCTCACATCATAAAGTGCCTTCATGCGCGAAGTTTTCTTGACGGAAGGATTGAGGAATTGGGAAAAAAAGGCAAAACCTGCGCAGGTGTCGTTTGGGGGGTGATGGATTTCGCCCAGCTGGACCCTCTTGCCTGTACAAGGTATTGAATACCTTTTATATTTTCCGTCTCGTGCAGAGCATGGATCTTTTTCTGAATAATTCCCCATATTTCACATTATTATTATTTATTCCTCATGCGGCAGGGGCCTCCTGGATTCTGCGGGGGCCCCCTGCGGCCGCAGGGGTATTCGCGCCGGCCTGTGTCAGAGGTAAGGACAAATTCTACAAATATCTAAACATTCGATCGGGGAAAGCAGAATCCTGATTGGGGATTCTAGACAAATTGCCCACCTTCATTTCTCTCGGCTCCTTGTACGGCGTGGGAGCGAGAGACGTGTTGGGGAGGTGGTCACTCTCCACTTTTACACAAGTTTGTCGATTTGCATCCCATGCTCTCATCTACAATACTGAAGTTCTTTAATACTACGAGACATCCTCGATTTTAACAAAAAAACATGGTTAGTTCCAAATTGCAGCTGTGGGTCTTCTTTGAACATATAACTGACGGTTGCTTGCATTTTTTAACTTCAAGGTTTTTCTGCTTCCACGAGCGCATAATTATGCGGTGATTGGAAGCAAAACTGAAATCGCATTGACGTTATCCGTCACAATAGTCTCTTGCAAGGCCTTGGGAAACCATAAGAATGGATCTTGTCCAATTGCCAGAAACTGAGTACAGTTATTCAAATGCATACCCATTTAAACGAGAACATTTCCCTTGCTAATGGAATTAATACACATATTTTCCCCTATCCTTTTTCAGGAAGCAGTGTTCACTCCAGTCATACCAAGTCTCTGTATTGGTGGAAATCGACATGGATACCGAGAATATCTCTTCTGGAAGAGCGAATTACGGCTACCAACAACATTCCCTGGAGAAGACCATCGAAGAAGATGAGAAAATCAGAACAGAAAGCAGGTTAGTTTCATTATGCCAGGGAGCAAATTGATTTGCGTGATTTAATTATGAATAAACATTAAAATATATGTTCTTTCATTTTCACCGCATCGCATTCGGACATCATTTATAGAGGGCTTCCTTTCACTATGAAATGAAGCTTCATGATAGCGCTGCCCTGCAACATATAAATATCCTCCTTTATCTAAATTCTTCGTATACTCCTCGATCATTTGATTTCATGAATCGGCGCAGACGCATACGCTCTTTTTCTAACACTGCAGAAAGGCTACAAGAACGATTGACTACACTCAAAATCCTGCGTTTTCGTTGTCAATTGTCATATCTTGCTTAATGCATAACAATTTCCCTATGCTTACAAAATGGTCATTCCATTTTTCTCGGTACAGGTTTGATATTACTTCTCTGAAATTTCGCGAAAGTTTTACTCCCCTCTTAACATATGCCTACATCAATCATTAATTTATTGTCACGATGTTCCAATGTTGCTGAAGTCAATTATAACATTTTTACCGGTACATTTCCGTATAACTTTGCCATTTCAGTCAATAATTTATTCGATCTTAGTTATGATTAATATACAAGAATGGATATAAGATCGATGTCATTATTCCAAGCAAATGGGCTAAAAAAAAATTATGAAGGAGAAATGCGCCTTCTCACAATACTCAGAATTTATGAAAAGGGAACCAAATTAGTAAATTTTTACAGTTGGAGAGGACATTAGTGATTCAGTTCTTACAGTGAAAACCAAGCCAATTGTTTCACAGTGAAACGGTGAAAAAGGCTTCTCAGATCGAAGAACAGGCCAATTGACTCGGGTTCGGGAGATAATAATTCTCGAATTGCATCGGGATCCAGGACTGACACGCACTTCAGAATCCTCACCGCAAAAAATTTTTGGCCATTCCAAAGTATATGAAGAGAGAGATGCATTGGAAGAATACAGCATATTAGTTGATCGCATTCCGCTCCAATTTCATTCGAGGCATTGGGGTCCTATGACGCAATATACTCGAGGGGGGATGCGTAAGGCTCACTGGACGAAATCCGGCTGAAATATGATTTAACCCATGATCTGGACTTTTACCAGGCAGATACTTTTATCAGGAAATACATCTTTGAATACCCCACAACGAAAATTGACCGATGATGCCCAAACACATGATTCATTTCTCGTTTTTCTGGGACTGGAGGTCAAAGAGGTTGGTATACGGGAGGCAAAGGACAGACAGCTAGCTACTTGGCGAAACGTGTTGGACTTATCAGGGAAAGATGACATTAATGTAAGCCAGGTGGCAAAATTAAATACCTTGCTATTATATGAATGCTCTTTCTTGAATTTTCCCATCTATTGACACATCGCTTATAATTGCTGGTGTTCCTCCTATTTGGTCTCGTTTTAATGAAACTTAGCGCAGTTTCGTTAATCGCAAACTAACCAGGGGAATCGCATGTTACGCCTTAGAGTCTTTATTCTAATTAAACTTTGGTACTGAATTCATATCCCCATCCAATTCTTGAGCATAATGGAAAACACATGCATGGGTTTGCGCTTTCCGTGCACTTTCAACTGAGCGAAGAAAGTTCGTTACCATTGATTCGCAAAGCATTTCAGGCCAAAGAGGGATACACGCATTCTTCGTCGAATTGTCCACCCTCGTGAGGATTCCTCCTCATTGGGCGGATTTATTCCTACTCCCTCTTCGGTTCAGCGGTCTCAGTCGAAGTGAACCCTTCCCCCACCCTCCACTATGGTTAAAACGCAAGCTCGAGTCGGAAGTCCCATAGAATAGAGTCATACTCCTCCAGACCTGACCCTGCCTTCGGCCCATCCACATCGGAAGGATCCTGCTGAAAGGAATGAGGCGTGGTGTTGTGAGGCGTTTAAAAGGATGCTGGTGCGTAAAGAAAGCAAGTTCACTTGTAATTGACGTGAAATAATTCTCCTGTTAAGGTGGTACGGGAAGGAAAATCGATGGGTCTGGGATTCCAAAATGTTTCCGTAATTCTTATGTAGGGGGTCTCACAAAACCCAGAAAGCAGTTTCTTACTTCCCTATCACTTTTACTTAAGCCATAAGTCTTGTTGAAAGTTACCGGTAGATGGCAATCGAAGAGCAATGTTTGAAGGCAGCATAGCATCCGAACCACTGGACGGATCTCCTTGAAACTTTCATCATTACAAAGCCGGGAAAGTTCTCTACAACATGAAGTCGAGATGAACGCCGAGACTCTCACGTCTAAGGTCAGGCGAATTTTTTTCTTCGAGCTATGGATTTTCGTTAATTAGTTTTTCCGCCGTTGTTTCGAGAAGAGATCATAGCATCCGAACCACTGGACGGATCTCCTTGAAACTTTCATCATTACAAAGCCCCGAAAGTTCTCCACAACAAGGAGTCAACGCCGAGAAACAAACAACGCCGAGACTCTCACGTCAAAGGTCAGGCGAATTTATTTCTTCGAGCTATGGATTTTCGTCAATTAGTTTTTCCGCCGTAGTTTCGAGAAGAGATTCATTTCAGAGAAAAGCATAAATCAGATTTTGGGGAACACCCATCTCCATCCCCACGCCAAGTTTCGTGAGAATCGTTCAAGCCGTTTTCTGGAAAGTACTCGAATATCCCCGGAAATAGACACTTTATCAGTGCGTTCTTCCTGGCGTTTTACTCTCGTTCAGGGGCGAAAATGCAAAAAGTAATCAGACCATTTTATAGAGGAGATTCTCCCGAGTGAATAGGGATAAGAATTACCGATGTCAGTACTTGGTATGTCGAGAAAACATCATTTCAAACAGCATCTCGTTTGGATCAGAAGCTGTTCTTAAATTGGCACTCACTCCCCTCACGTCGGTCATTGAGCAAGCGCGTAGCCTTCCCGCAGGTGGTTGAACTGCGTGCATTGCTCGCTTCGGCGGAGACCCGTTTGAGGCTTGTAATTCTTCGTCTCCGCCGCCTCGCACTCTCATGCAGAGCGTATTGCGCTTTGATTCCGTCATACAGGGTGGTTGAAAAATAACTCCCTATTGGAAATTGCTAATAACTTGAATAATTATTGGTCGATTGTAGTGAAACAAGTTTTACTCTGGACCGTAGAATGGTAGAAATTGTCTGCTGTGTTAAAATTCCACATAGGCACCAGCGTTGTCCGCCAGTTTCTGTAATCGTCTGGGAATAGCTTCGACTGACTTCAGCAGGAACTCCGGTGGTATGTTGGTGAGAACATGCCGAATGCGATCCTGATGGTCTTGGCATCCACTGAAGCACGAGGTCCACCATCTCTGCACCTGTACCACGGACTGCCACACTTCGTAACCGGAGGCCAGCTGAGATCGCTCACGCAGTGTCAGGCGACGGGCCATTATGGGCTGCTCTCGTCATTGTGAGATGAAATCAGAGATCATCAATTAAATTCTACCACTGTAAGGATCACAATACATTTTGTTTCATGCAAATCCAGTACTATTTACAAAAGTTATAAGCAATTTCCAATAGGGAGTTACTTTTCAACCACCCTGTAGATTACAGATTTTTTCAAGGCCATATGCGTATTTGCTAAATATCCACATTGCTTTCGATGATCGCCTTCCCTGTATGCGTCTGCTTCCGCTTTTGTTACACTAGACACCTATAGGTGAATATGTCAACGTCGCTTAAAAAGCTAATTAGTTAAAACATAATTTTATTCAATGGTCTATATATATTTGAATGCCAAATAAACAGTCTCATTAAATGCCGTATAAAGGCCATTTTCGCGCTTGTCTAATGTCGTCATTCTGAGTCTCGTGAAATTGGCCTCAGCAGCTAAAAATATTGTTGGACGTTTACATATACCTACATATAAACATTGGACGTTTCGGAACACGAGTGAATTTATAAAAGCAACTGGAATTGTAATTTTGTAACCTGGACGCTGGCGGGAGGATCTGCCCCATTCAATCACGAAAATATAATTCCTTTAAGGATTTTTCCCTTTGCCCATCAAAATCCGCTTAGCAGATCCAAGTCTCGTCCTAACGTCTGGCAATTTGCGGAAAAGAATATTGCGTCCCAGGATTATCATCTTCAGAAACAATGACTTCCTCCTCATGAACGCAGTTTCCTTCAGTTCCGGCTAGTTTGAGTCTCCCGCTCCTTCGCTCCCTCTCAAATAAACCGGTTTCTTGAGCTAGCAGAATATACAAGAAAGCCGCTCCAGCGCCTTTCTTGTATATTCTGCTAGCTTCCTCCATGTCAGTACCGATTCATACACGTCTCGTAACATGTCGACAGAGAGACACTCTGCTCGGATTTTCCTTTCCTGGAGTTCTGGCATGTAGTTATGCCGCAGACCTTCATATGCTTGGCACTGGAGCAGCAGATGTAATTCATCCTCTTCTTGCCGACAGAAGGGACAGATATAATTCTTCTCATCTCCTACACTCGTCTTCCATTTCCATGTTCCCAGCATCAGGGTTGCTATCTGGGCTCTCACGAATTTGCTGTCAGTCCTTGTCACATAAGCTTCTCTTGAGAATGCCGTCTTCATCTCATACGTCCTTACGGATCTCATTGCACGGCAGCGAGCCAGTTGTACTTGGCCATCCGTATCCCTCAGTCGTTCTTTGAGGGTTTTGATGAACCAGTTGCCTCCTGGTCCAGCCCACCATACATACGAAAAGCCCAAGTTGTCCAGAATGTTTTTTAAAGCGTTTCCCCATGTGCGATTTTCCCTCTGTGTTCCCCACTTCATTTGTGCCTCCNTCCAGAATGTTTTTTAAAGCGTTTCCCCATGTGCGATTTTCCCTCTGTGTTCCCCACTTCATTTGTGCCTCCCAACATTTCCTAAGCAATGGGCTTTTTGTTTGGCTACATCTCAGCCAGTACTTCACCATTCTCTCCTTCACAATTGTATCAACAGATCTTCTATCCAGTTCCAGCAGCATTCCTGCGGGAATCTAAGCATAGGAATTAACAGTTAGAAGAACAATAATTATATAGCTTTTAAGTCTGTAGTGGGCCGCTGATCACTTTGTAATAGTTAATATGGGCCGCGGATCACTGCAGTTTTTAAGGTGGACCGTAGGATCGGAAAGGTTGAGAACCACTGATCTAACGCATCCCACGCGTTCATCAGCCTACAAGTAAAAAAGCCCTGTCTCGACCTGAGCAGCACCTGCCGTTTAGGCAACTCGAGTTGATTACCTCTCGTTCTCTTGCTGCCATCGAACTGGAAGAACCTACTACGCTCTACATTATCTATTCGTTTAATGATATTGAAAGCCTGGATGAGATCGCTCCTCCTTAACCTACTCTCTCTCTCTCTCGTACAGTCCCAGTACATCTAAACGCTTCTCGTACGGAAGTCCCCTAACCTCTTTTATCATTCTTGTGGCCCTTCTCTGTACCCCCTCGAGCACCATCAATTCACCCTTATTTGTAGACCTTCAAAACTGGATGCAATATTCCAACTGGGGTCTTGCCAGCGCCGCATACAACGGAAGAATAACGCTCGAGTTCCTACTGGCAACTGCACGACGGATGTATCCGAGAATCCTATTACATTTAGCCAGCGTCGCTTGCGCGTGCGAGAAAAACTTGAAATCTTCGTCGATAGAAACCTCTAAATCTCTCTCTCCGTTTGCCTCCCCCAGTTCATCTACGTCAAACGCGTCGAGAGACCTACCGTTATTATGATCGACGAGGAGAACTTTACACTTGCTTTTATTAAACCTCATGAGCCATTTTTTTCGTTCTTGACTAAGAGACTTGACAAACATCTGACTACGGCAATGGAGGGGCTTCCTTTCAAAATATCCCTTAGCCCTTCACTGCATCG